AAGGGGAAAAGGAAAGGAAAAGGGAAAGAGAAAGGGGAAAGGGAAGGGGAAGGGAAAGGGAAAGGGGAAAAGGAAAGGAAAAGGGAAAGGGGAAGGAGAAAGGAAAGGGAAGGGGAAATGGAAGGGGAAAGGAAAGAGAAAGGGGAAATGGAAGGGGAAAGGAAAGGGAAAGGGGAAATGGAAGGGGAAGGGGAAGGGGAGAGGAAAGGAAAATGAACAAGCTAATATTTCTCTAACCCAAAATCCTAGCTGTAAAGCCCGAGAAAGTAAATTCTTCCCACTCAGCAATATCAATCAGAAAACCTAAAAATGTGACTCATTTAATCTTCAGCGTCTTTGTGGGTATTTTTAAAAGATTACCTTCTCAAAGTTATAAATGCTACTGTAACTTTAAACCAGCCTTCAGTTCTGCAAGAATGAGAATTGCAATTTTCTATGTATTTGATATTCTTCAAGGTCACAAAAATCTTAAAAACTTACCAGATTCTAGTGAAAACAAAAGTACAAAAATTAAAAGCTAATGCAAACTCAAAATATCTTTCATATTCTACCTTAGGAGATACTTTATGTTATCATTTAAAATGACTTCTGAAGGCTGATGGCATAGCTCAATAGGTAAAGGCACTTACTTCATAAGTCTGAGAACCTGAGTTCAATCCCTGTAACCCACATAAAAGTAGAAGGACTGAGTCAACTCAACAGAGTTGCCCTCTGACCTCTACATGTAAGCTATGGCACATGACACACACAATAATAATATATTAGATCAAAATGACTTAAAAATTTACATAATATTTAATGTAATGGTGATGACTATAAGGTAGGTAATACAACAAAAATTTGTTGTTATATGAAATTCAGTTTTCTTTTTTTCTCATTTTTAAATTATTTTACTTTTTTATTAAGCAAATGTGTTCTTTCAGAACAAACTTTAGTCTTGGCAAAAATCTTCATTCTCCAGAAGGAAATCATAAAAATGAAAACATATTAATAAGATATTTCAAAGATTATTATTTACAAGGCGAAATCTTGTAAAATATAGGTAAAAATCATTAAATTTTCAGATTGAAACCAATTATATACTTTAATCTCAATATTCAATATTCTAACTTATCAACACATTCCCACAAAACAAAAACAAAGTAAAATTAGTGTTATCTACCCTAAGTAATATGTCAGATTACCAAGTATAAATTCACATAAAAGCATTAACTTTTTACACACCACCAACACACACTTGTAAACTCACTTGGGTAAATATGGATCTTTCCCACAGCAGCAGCAGTCTCTACAAAGTTATTTACCTTGTCCTGGCTTTGCAGTTACAGCTGCTCCGGCAGAAGGCGGCTCAAACTCCTGTCAATTACAATAATGGTTAAATTATACAGCATCCTATCACAATGTATAAGTTGTAATAGAAAATAGTATTATCAGTTTACCTTTGATTTCTTTGAGTCTGGATCAAACCTTTCAAGAATTAACTTAGCTGTCTTATAAGTTTCTTTTTCCATGACTTCTTCAAGCTACAAACAAAAATTTCCATTAATTTTTATATTTTAAAACATATACTATTTAATTTTTATAAATCTTATTCAAAAGGTAAAAGTATCAATCTTAGAATTAAGGAAGAGAAAGTCACTCCCTCCATTTTGTACTTATATCTAGCAAATGTATCTAAACCAAAAGATTTTTCTGCAATCAAATAATAAAAATCCAAGCTTTTAAAATAGTGTCTAACCTCTAATATGTTACTTGTATTTTAACAGCTTTACTGCAAGGAAATACCAAATATCGCTAATTGTTTACATATAATGAGGAGAATAATTACATGCACCAACTTCAATAATGGAATGTGCAAAAATCTATCAGCCATCATTATTGGAAGTTATTAGACATGACAAGCAAATGACAGGCAATTTCTCAGATTTATTTCCTCACAGCACTTAATGCTATTAATTTAAGAAGGTCGTTAGCCAAGAGCTTTACAAAATAAAATCTCTGTGCCAATTAACTGCTGTCAGCATCGATTTTAGATTATTTATTAGCAGAAGCAATTAGCTTGCTACAAACGTGGTGAAAACTCAGTAACTGGGAGGACAGCCATGGAATTTGCTCAAGTGACTCAAAAAGCAAACCTTCTCCCCATCCTCTTTTCTTACTTAGATTCAAACATCTTGAGGAGAAAAAAAATTAATCACAGAATTTAAGTAAAGTTTTTACTATGTTCTATGCTCACACTAGGGACTGTGATTAAAAGCTTCATTGTTATAGCATTTTATTTACAATGCTCTCAAGTCACTTTATAAGCCTAATACAGGGGTTCAATTTAAAAGTAAGTAATCACTAGTAAATACCATTTCTACAGTTATGGTCCAATATCAGAAAAAGTTAAATTTTAGTACAAGACAGTCAGTTATGACAAATAATTAGTGTGTTATATAAAATCCATTTGGAAAAATTGGAACATGACCCTTTCCTTCTTGGTGACTAATAACCACTTTTATTTGTTATATATGTCTTGTCCATTCCAAGGACACTTGTATTAAAAAGCAGCCGACACCATGTTTACTTAGTTAAAGCATAGTTTTAAAAGAAATGCCTTGCCACAATTATAGTTAATAGATTGCCCATTAAACATTAAAATTTAAAAATCTAAGTCCTTAGAGGAATGATTTATAACTGTCAATTTAGTAAAACTAAAATATTTTACTAGTTATTTCAATGTTATAATAAATTCTCAAGATAAACAGTTTAAATTTTCTTATGTAAAATTTATTTTGGACTAGTGAAAAATTAGGAATGGAGGTAAAGAAAGAATATCATGAGATACATCCCCAAATCAACATCATCATGAAATATTAAAGAATCAACTCTCTCATTAGACTTTTAGACCTGTATTATCCAGTAGAACGCTCAGTAATACTTCTACATCGGCACAATAAAGTTACTAAGATGAATATGGTAAATGAACACTTAAAAATGTTGCTCTGTGACCTAGAAATTAAGTTTACAGTTTTATTTCATGATAAATAATAAAAATATACATAGTCAAAAGTGGCAAGTAGCTACTGATTCAGTCAGCACAGCTACAGATAAAGTCTATTGCTAGGTTTATGATTAGCAAGCTAAGAACATTAAGTCAGTCTCTGAAAAATATCATAGATTTTCTCCTATATGTGATTCCTAAATTTGACACACACACAAAGCCATGTACACACACACACACACACACACACACACGGAAGAGAAAGTGGAACTGTTCGTGGGAACGAAGGGAAGTAATGGAAGCAGGTCCACAGGGTATACGAGATGTACCGTGCTCCACGTATAATACAGACTTGGACGAAGTGGTCTTACGTAACATAATAAATATAATGAATACATGTACGAAGGCTTTAAGGGATAAAAAAGGTTTAAAATTTTTAAAAGATTAGATACAACTATAATCTTTAACAGAGAACTCAAAGTCAGATGCTATTTCAACAACTCTATTCTAACAGATCAGTAAGCAATCACTTATGTGTCTGTGTTTCATTTATCTTAAAAAAGATTAGATTTTAAACAATAAATCCAGTCCTATTCTCCTTTATGTTTTTCAATTTTATCTAAAATTATTTTCATACTATATGCACCCGTCATGAGATACTGTGCTACCACAGGCAAGTGACCGAGGGCTGAAACCTCCCAAGCCAGGAACCAAACTAACTGTTGTCAGTTTCAGTTGATTAACTCTGCTACTTGTCACATCAACAAAACTAATACAATTTATTATACTCTAGACAACAGTACATGAAACTGACCATATATACTTGATTAAATTTCAATTTATGAGTTTCTTCTTAATGTCATACTTCCAGCAGCTACCACCATTTCCATATTTTAATACTAAGAAAATATGTAAAATCACTAAGACAAATACCAAGATCAATTCACTTATTGCAGACTTTATAGGCCAACCTTACACCTCTCTCCCCCGCCCGCCTCTCTTTCTCTCCTCTCCTCTCTCTCCCTCCTTCCCTCCCTCCCTCCTTCTCTTTCTTTCTCTCTCTCCTTCCTTCACTCCTTCCCTCCCTCCCTCCCTCCCTCTCTCCTTCCCCCTCCCCCAAGGAAACCTAAGAATTAACACGAGTCCATGTTTCTTCCATTTAGGGCTCTAACACAATCTAGGTGCTAACCTTTATACCCTCTGAGCCTCATTTAGTTCTTCAATGTGAACTATTTACTTACTTTTTGGCTTCAAACTAACATAAATTCTCAAAATCTCAAAAAAACACATACCTAAAGTACTTTTTCCTATATATTAACTTAAAAAAATTCATAATTTAATTTCAACATTAAAATACTGTCAAAAGTGTTCTTTGGAGAATCACTAAGGTATAATATATAAGCATTAATTACCCAATTTTTAACTGATTTATATAAATTAACTTTAAATAAAATTTAACTTACTATCTTTTTCTTCTGGGATTTTAAATCATCCAATGCTTCATCTAGAAAACAAGATTTAAATCAAATATTAAAATGCTTAGATATGAGAATCATCATAGATACTACATGTGAAGCAAGCACAAAAAAAAAAAAAGCTCAGGATTTCTATAAATTTATCCCATATGCAGAGATAAAAATTATCTTAGTGTTGACCCATACATTTCATATTCTTCCTGTATTATATATTTCAAGAGTCAGAAAAAATTTAAATGGACTTTATATAGACAAAATTCTTAATATTTTTTTCAGAAAGAATACTCTGTTTGAACATTTCATTCTCATTAATTTATAAATACCAAATCTCCTTTTATATACTAATAAATATTCTTTGTTTATAAGAAGGATATTACTTATTTTAATAGACTTCTGAAAATCTTTATTATACCTGCAAGACTTACAAAGCAATATCAGTAGCTTTTCAAACTTAAAGATTTCTAAAATTTACATACTTATTTAAGTTAGCATAATGGAACATGCTATCATTTCAAAAGCTATCCCTTAAACCAAGTATGGTGCTACACATTTAATCCCGGGGAGAACCATAGGCAGGAAGATTTCTGTAATTTCAAGTCCAACCTGGTCTATATAACAATTACTAGATATCAGGATTAGAAAATGAAACTCTGTCCCAAAAAATAATTTTTTAAATAAAAATAAATAATTTTGGAGAAAAACGAAAAAAGGAAGGGTTAAAGAGATGGCTCAGAGACTAAGGGCACTTGTTGCTCTTGCACAGGCCTCAGCTTCAATTCCCACATCAACATGATGGCTTACCACCATCCTGTATCCCAGTTCCAGGGGATCCGATACCCTCTTCTGACCTCCACAGGCCCCAGATACTCATGGGACACATACATGAAGGCAAAACACACATTAAATAATTCCTTAACCAAAAAAAGATCCCTTTACAAATGTTTTGCTTCTATTTTTTCTGTAGAAATACTTAATTAAGAAAAATAAGTAGTAACTTGCAAGTTGTTATCTGCCTCCACATGTGCAGACCAGAGTTTGGTTCCCAGCACCTACATTGGGCACATCACAAGCACCACCTGTAACTCAAGTTTCAGTGATCCAATGCCCTTTTCTAGCCTCCACAGACACCTGTACATACATGTAGCATATAAACACATGGAGGCACATACATACATGTATAATAAATAAAGCTGTTTTACAAGTGAAAAAAGTATATTCAAGTAGTGTTTGTTAGAAATTAAACATGCAATTATATTTAAACAGGATAGGCTCTACCAAATAAGTAGAGAAAGGAAAAATAAAAGAATCAAAGGTGTCTAAATATAAGTGGCTATTTGGGCTACAGCACATATCCTAAACTGAACAGAAGTGAGACTATACACAAGGAGCATACATTAAGGGCCATCTATTCATACAACCTTATTTATATAGTGAAACAAAATATTCTTAAACCAAGTAGTACTTATAAAACTACTAGAAATTTGATATTTTATATTAATATTTTATTCATATATCTAAGTATTATACTTACATTATACTTACATTTTTATTTCTCTAAAATATAGTTTAAAATAATAAGCACTGAAGAAGGTGAAGGCAAAACAAAATTAAGAGAGACCATGAGCTGATAACTATTTAAGTCAATCATAGGTACACAAGACTTCAGTAGACTACACTTTTGTACAGTGGAGAGAAAAAAAACATATCATACAGAAAGTTCATTTAAGATAAACTATAGATATATAAATCATATATGAGATAAATATATATCTCATTGAACACAGATAAGTTGAGCTGGTGCATAGCTAGAGCCTTCACCCCTAATGAAGACTAGTGTACATGGTACTGTAAAGTACTCTGCACACTACAGAGAAAGGCTAACATTAACCCAGCTTCAAACCCTAGGGATGACAATGATGACTTCTCAGCATGACATGCTAGTGCAATAATGGCACAAAAGTTGTGGGAGTAACCAGTCACTCTGATTGGATTTAAGGCTCATTCCACAAGATGGAACTCATGCCTGACACTGCTCAGGTGGCCAAAAACCTGAGAAGAGACAGGCCATGGACTTAGGGAAAAACAAAATACTAGTATCTGCTAAAGCAACAGTACTTAAGCTGTGAGTCGTGACCCCTTTGAGGGTGTCAAACGACCCTTTCACAGGCACTGCTCAAGACCATCTATATATTAAATATTTGTATTATAATTCATAACAGTAGCAAAATGACAGATATGAAGTAGCAACAATACTATTTTTATGCCTGGGGGTGAGCACAACATGAGAAACTGTATTAAGGAGTCACACAGAATAAGGAAGGTTGAGAATCACTGAGCTAAAGAAACAGTAATAAAATGACTCCTAATGACATTCTGCTATACCCATAGATCAAAATCTCACTCAACCATTAGAGAAACTTTCTCATGTAGAAGATGCGAACAGATGCACAATGGACAATGTGCAAAGAGTGAGAGGCTTTAGAACATTCAGTCCTAAATGGGATGTCTTCCTCAAATCTACTCTCAGGGCTCAGGAAGAAATGCAGTAGAGGCAGGGAAGGACTGTTAGAACTAGAGTGAATGGGCAACACCAAGGAAACAATGTCTTCCAAACAGAGTAAAACAGGTTCACACATCAACTCAGAGGCTTGTGGCAGCATGGACTGGGTTCGCACAGATTCAAGCCAGACATTGTCCCCATGATGAAAGGCAGATGTGAACACAATCTCCTTGCCCCAACCATAAAACTATCTCCAAATGACATCTTCTTGCAAAGGAAAATTAGTTTTCCCCAGTAGAGTCTCACTGGGCATATTAACTGCACTTAAGACCAGGAGCCATGCCCTGGAGGAGACAGCCAACACAAAATGAACTTAGGTATTTTTGCAGACTTTTTGTCTCACATTTGCTTTGGTTGAACTTTTTCTTTTTTGGCTTACTGGTCTTTTGCTTGTATATTATAATTTGTAATTTTGTGGGGGTTTGAGGCTTTATTTTTTATGTATATGGATGTGTATGTGAGTTTCTTGTGATTTTTCTTTGTTTTTGGTTTTTTTATTGTTTTATTTTAATTGGCTAATTTTTTTTCTAAAGAGAGAGAGAAACTAAGTATGAAATTGGGTAGGGAGGATCTGGGAGGAGTTGAGGGAGGGCAGTGGTCAGAATATATTGTCTGAAACAATTTTTAATAAATAAGGATCTTTAAGTTTTTTTGTTTTTGCTTGTTTTGTGTTTTGTGTTTTGTGTTTTGTTTTGTTTTGTTTTAAGACAGAGTTTCTCTGCATAGCCCTGGCTGTCCTGGAACTCACTCTGAACACCAAGCTGGCCTCAAACTCATAGAGATCCACCTGCCTCTGCCTCCCAAGTGCTGGGATTGAAGGTACCACTGCCCAGCTAGATACTTTTTAAGACCTGAAAAATCTTTAAAATTTGCACATATATAAAACATATATAGAAGGAAATTTTCATATTTGCATATTTCAATTAAAATAAAGCTAAAGGGATGTGATGTTAAAGAGAGTAACACAGTTAAAAGAAAAAGCTAGAGAGATGGCTCCGTGGTTAAAAGCACTCACTGCTCTTCTAGAGGACCCAGGTTTAATTCCCAGCACCCACACAGCCACTCATAACTATCTGTGACTCTGGTTCCCAGGAATCCACTGACTTCACCTAGACTCCACAGGTACCAAAAACACACATGCAAGCAGAACCCACATGCACATAAAATAAAATGAATAAAAAGAACAAGTATGTATGTACTGTATTTTAATCTATACCAATGTTGCTCAAAGATTAATTTAACAAATATAATTTGCTTTTATTTAAAAAATGTTTTGTGTGGAAAAAAAACTAAGAATTGACATATATCTAAAGACAGAACCTTCTTATACTGATGACCTTTGTCATGTTGGATAGCAAACAATCTGACACACTATCATCTCAAACCACTTCATAACTAGCTCATACAATAGCACATAGTAAGATGAGTTTGTTTGTTTATTTGACATAGATTTATAAAAAGTATTTAAACTTACTATTTCTCTCTGTTCTCTTGGAAAAGAAGAAAATAAGCACAGTTCTTAATGTCCAGATGCTAGAGAGGAAGCAAAATTCAAAACAAAATCCATCATTATAAGAGGTAAATCAGAATCTACAGGCAAAATAAACAATTCCAATTAGGGCTAGGAGTTTCACTCTAAACACTGAAAATCCCAAATCACTATGTTTTGTTAAAAAAAAAAAAAACCGTAGGCTCACTTGACATTTCAATAGACGAGTTCTCAACCTAAATTTCACGGCCTTCTTAGAGTTCCTCCTAGAATTATAAAACCACCTTTCTATGTTTGAATACGTGTCCCTAGAGAAATCATTACTTCTGTCAATTTCTAAAGGGTTTATAAATCTCCCAAAGCATTAAGAACAGTATTATAGAATGTTTTCTTTTATTAATTCTATTCTACTTTTATTTATGTGTGTGTGTGTGTGTGTGTATGTGTGTACATATACATGGGGATGCCCAAAGAGGCCAGAAGGTGTGTGATCACCTGCAGCTGAAGTTACAGTTGTACGCCTACTAACACAGACGCTGGGAACTGAACTCAAGCTTTCTGAAAGAACAGCACAAGCTCCTAACCACTGAGCCATCTTTCTAACCTGAAGAATGCTTTCTAAGTAAATATTGGTTCCAAAAACATTTCCTCGCCGTTCCCTGGTGTTAACAGGCAAGCATGTTTTGCATTTCTAAACAAGAGTATTATTACATGATCCCTACCACTTAACATTGAAATGATCTTCTTTATTCAATAGAATAAGCTATCTGGAGAAAGAAATCCAGAGGAGGGAAAAAGGCTTACTTTCAAATAAATATTGATAATAAAATTTAGCTAAATAACTCCTTTTAAAATTTTATGGTAGTAACTCTTTAGGCTTTTCGCTACTAATATATCCAACAATATTAAAAGAATTAAAAGAAACTCAAAAAATAATCCTATCACCAGGTTGTCAAAGTCATCTCTAATATAGATACAGGAAACCCTAGGCCTGTGCTGTGAAAACCTTACAATGTGAGATCAACCATCAGAACCCACAGACGATCAACCCCATAATACTGTCCTCTGTCCTCCATGAGTATGTCACAGTGTGTCTGCAACCATACATACACACACACATGCACGCACGCATGCACACAAATGAAAAGATTAAAAATTGAATGGATCATAACAAGCAATGAAATTGAGTCAATAATAATAATAAAATCGCCCAAATCAAAGAGACCCAGATGGATTTAGTACTGAATTCTACTTGACTTTTAAGAACACCAATGCTTCTTAAACTACTCCATAAAACAGAATGGGAAATATTGCTACCAAATGTTTTATGAAAGCAGTATTATCCTGATACAAAAGCAGAAAACAAAAAAAATTATAGGTCAGTCTCCCTAATGACCACAGAAATATAAAAATTCAACGAAATATTTAAAATACAATTCAAGAAAGCATCAAAAACATCATCGGCCATGCCAAGCTGATTTTGTTCCATAAATATAGGGATGGTGCAAGTACATATATACAGTCAATAAATATAATGTACCACATTAATGGACTCCAAGACAGAAATCATGTGATTGTCTCAATAAACACAGGAAGAGCCTTTAACAAAATCTAATACCCTTTCATGAGAAGATTTTTTAAAAGCTCTGAGGAAAGTAGTAATAAAAGAAAAAATAAAGCTATATAAAACAAATCTATAGCCAACACTATACTAAGTGGGAAAACACTCAAAGCATTACCTAAAATCAAGAACAAGAAAAGCTGTCTACTATCTCTACTCTGATACAATCAAGTGCTGTTTAAAGACAGCTACGGCACTAAGACAGATAAGGGAAAAAAGGATACAAATAGGAAAGGAAAAGGCCAAAGTATCCTTATTTGTATTTGATAGAACTCTACACATAAACTGGTAACATTTTCGAAGAAGTAGGATACAAAATTAACATTTAAATATCAGCCTTCCTAGGTACAAATAGGAACCCAGCTGACAAAGAATTGGGAAAACAATCCCATTTACAATTGCTTCAAGAAAAAAATTAAATACTTGGAATAAACTTAGCCACAGAAATGTAAGACCTCTACAGTAAAAACTTTGTAAAACTAAAGAAACTTAAGACACTAAAAAACATGATGACACCCCCCCAGACCTATGTTCATGGACTAGAAGAATTAAGATTGTGAAAACGACTATATTACCAAACACAATCTACAGACTCATTCAATGCAACACTACCAAAATTCTAAGGCACATCTGTGCACATGCGTGTATGCACAGGCACTAGAGGTGTCATCACAATACCTAGTTATTCCAAGTTATACTACAGATTAAAGATTAAAAATTGAATTTTATTACTACAGAGCTATAGTAATAAAAATACCATTGAACAGGCACAAAAGAAGTCACTTAAATCAGTGTAATAGAGAAGACCCAGATATAAACCCACACGGTGACAACACAGTGACAACTACCTGACTTTTGACAAAGATGGCAAAAACATACACTGGAGAAAAGACAGCCTTTTCAGCAAATGATACTTGAAAAACTGAACATCCTCAAGTAGAATGGAAACTAGATAATTATTTCTCATATTGTAAAAAAAAAAAAAAATGAAACCAACAACACAAGCTTGAAAGGTGGCTTAGTAGCTAACAGCAATGGCTGCTCTATCAGGAGGAAAGGAGTTCCAATCCCAGCACCTATAACTTCAGGGCCTAGGAATCCAAAATCTCTCTAGAGTCTGTAGGCATGTACACACTCAAATATACATGTGTGCATGAACACACACACACACAAATAAATTCTTTTTAAAAATCAATTCCAAGTGGGACAAAGACCTTTATAAGATGGAAAGCTCTGAAACTATTAAGAAGAAAAAGAAGAGAAAACACTTCAACATATCCACATATGGCAAAGACTTTCTGAATAGGATTTCTATATAAGAAATAATGTTAACAATTGACTAATGGGATCTCAGTAAACTAAAGTTTCTATACAGCAAAGAAAAATAACTAAATGGAAAGACAACCTACAAAATAGGAGGAAAATCCTTGCTAGCTGTATATCTGACAGAAGATTATCATTTACAATATACAAAGAACTCAAAAACCAAAACAATAAGAAATCAAACCACCAAATCAATAAATGGGCTAGAATAAAATGAATAGACAATTTTCTAAAGATGAAGTATAAAACAGTCAATAAAGATATAAAAAAACATTCAACCTCATTAGCTATCTGGAAATGCAAACTGAAACTACATGCTTCCATTTTCATCCAAGTCATGCTGACAGTCATTAGAAAGCAACAACAAATTCTCTGATAAGAATATGGATAAAAGGGAACCCTTATACATACTGCTGGTGAAAATATGAGCAAATCCAGCCATGTAAATCAAGACAGAAGCTCCTGAAAAAACTAAAAATAGATCTATCCTAAGACCCAGGTCTTAACCTTAATTCAAGGTTTAACACATCACAGAGACACTTGTCTATCAGTACTTACTGTAACACTATTCATAACAACTAAGTTGTAGAATCAATACTTAAATGTCCACCATCAGAGAAATCAATAAAGTGTGACATATGTATATATTGAAAGTTTTTCAGCCATAAAGAAGAACAAAGTACATGTAGCTTTCGGGAAATACACCCTATTTCATTTATTTTATAGACATACATAAACTACCAGCACTCTATACAACAAATATACAGTCACAAAAATTAAAACACAAAAAACACATTGTGTCTGGATATAAATTTAGAATGTAAGAAAGAATCTTAGTTCTTTACTGTAAAATAAAGCATTGCTATCTAAAAACTTTATCTGCAAGGCAGCTATTGGCAGTCTTACCTCTTCATACTCGGACCTTCAACCTAGTCCTCTCACAACCATGACTGACTGGAGGTGACAGAGGTGATAGTAAAGATAAAGTTAGACAGAGCTCAGCTTTGGGTCCCTCTCTGTCTTTTCTCTCTTGGATTACCAACTCTGAAAGTCAATGAGCCTGTGGGAAACACCTAATGAAGGGCTGAAACTTGCTAAACAATTGTGTAAGATTCAAAGCAGATTTGAAAAAATTACAAAAAAAAAAATGTCTAAAACTATACCAGATGTCCTCGCTGTATTTAGGTTCAGAATCTACTTTGAAAGTGGCACAACAACTAGCTATGGTATGATTTATGACTGCAGCAAGGAGAATAAATCCACACATAAGCATAGATTTATAAGATATGGCCTAATAAAAAGACAAAGATCTCCAGGAAACAAGCAAACAAATATAAAAACAGACTGAAAGTCAGGCAAAGGCAAAAATAAATGAAGTAAGCCAGAAACTGGATACCAGCAGGCGTAAACTCTGCAATGACTTTATCTGCTATGACTGTAGATTCAGTGAGGCCTTTACAAGACTGCAGCCCAAGCCTACAGCTTAACTGTAATTTATACAAGAACAAAAAACTCTGAAACAGAGTCACTCAACTAAGCTGTTCTCAACATTTCTTGTCCTTCAGGAACTGAAGGGACTGATTAAGCTACTAAATTCAAGTTTGCTACATAGCTATAGATAGTTCATATGCACTTTTAAATTGTGATCATGTAGTTTCATGATAGAAAAACACCAAATAACCAACACTAGATTCCTACATGGTTCTTACAGCAGCTACCTAAGGAGCTATTGAGCATTGTCTTTATCAAGGGAAAGGAGATAAGGAGAAAAGTTAAACACAAGGAATATGCCCCCCCAAAATTCCAACCCCCCTCCCCAGTGAATATTTGAAACACAGATGGACTGAATCCTTTATATCATTACCTTGCTATAATGTCTTGACACTTTAAATACAGTTCCCCCATGTTGCAAGGACTCCCAATCACAAAACTACTTTGTTGCTACTTTATAAATGTAATTTTGCTACTGTTATGAATCCTAATATAAATATCTGATATTCAGGATATCTGATATGCAACACCCAAAGGGACTGTGACCCATAGATTGAGAACTACTACTGTATATAGGGATTGTCTTGTATGCCACACAGCATTGCTACA